CTCTCTCTCTCTCTCTCTCTCTCTCTCTCTCTCTCTCTCTCTCTCTCTCTCTCTCTCTATCTCTATCTATCTCTCACGCACATTCACACACACCCCTTCTCCCTCTTTTCCCATCCATCGCTCTATCCTTCAGTTTCCTCACGGCAACCAAATTAACGGTCGCACGTGCGGAAGAACCTGCCCGTAACATGACCAATCCCCTTTCCCCAGGCACAACATTTCGTCGTGTTTAGTTGAAACCCTGCCGGCCTTGTCTTTCTATCCCTGGGCCATCTCGTTCCGTCAGGTTTTAGAGGGGAAGGACGTCTTGGGGTGTGCGGAGACCGGTTCCGGCAAGACCGCTGCCTTTGCACTGCCAATCCTTCACGAGCTCAGCAAGGACCCCTACGGGTGAGGATCTGAAACGGCAGTGTTTTGTGGTGATCTTCCCGCGTAGGGGAGGAAGAGCGTCGCCGAGACGTGGCCATGCTTAAGTTGACTGCGGCGTCGGATTGTGGTGATGAGATCGGTTGGGTGTAGGGCATAACGCCACCGCGCCGTAGCTGCTCATCTCGGTTGAGCTCGACAAGGACCCTCACTGATGAGGGGGGCACAAAGGATCGTCGCGGTACGAAGCAAGTTGCGTCGGACCTTGATCTGCGCGAGAGAGGAAGAACAGAACACACCTAAGATGGCAAGATGGGGAATGCTATATGCCTGACTGGAAATCGGTTTGCGTTTTTCTTGTTGAGTTTACCTAGCACTGCAGAAGATAACACCCCCCAGAAATGATTTTGAAATCTCGACTGCTCTGCAGCAAAGAGAGTGGTGGTGCCGAAAATGCCGGCGTCGGAAACGTCTCGTCGTGAGCTTTCCGAAATTACACCACCTTTGGTTTTGCCATCCTCTTCCGAGCTTGAAAAGTGGTTCGACGCAGGGGCTGTGGTATCTGCTGCTACCCACGGTAATTCCACTGTATTGGCGGAACACGCAGCACACTTACACCACGTTCAGTTTCCCTCCATCTTTTCACGCGCCAACACCGCACGTCCTCGCATCGCGTGCAGGGTGTTCGCGGTGGTGTTGACCCCGACGCGAGAGCTAGCAGTTCAGATTTCGGAACAGTTCGGCGCCCTCGGAGCGCTCATGGGACTGCGCCACACCGTGGTCATCGGGGGCGTCGGCATCTTGGAGCAGAGCTTGGCACTGTCAGGTGCGACGATGCCCGCTCTTCGCCTGAGTCGTTCTGCGTCTGAGCCCACGTCTGTGCGGTTTGCCTCCCACCGATTTTTCCAAACTACGCCAATTTATGGTGGCTGACCCGCTTATTCTTGTACTGCGCGCTCTCGAGTGATGTTGTTGTTGGGTCGCACTCCTCCAGTTGGTGCGTTGTTTTCTGACACATTCGTGCTCATGTCATTATGATAACTGCCCTCTCGTACGTCCGTGTATGTGTGCGGTTGAATGCAGTGTCATTGTCCCCTTGTATAATCTTAGATGCAGGAACGCATCGAAGAGGAGTGTACGTGTGTATTGTTAGTCGTTGGCTCGCTGGCCAACCCACTCTGGGGTCCTCGTGAGGCTCTTCCTTCATGGAGGAAAGATCCGGCGCCGCTGAGTACGTACGTCGAGTGCGCCCGTGGTGGCCATGGTCCTGCCAAGCGCCGTTAGCCTCTCTTGTACCTTCGTGCCAGGCCTTTCGAGGAAGGGAGTCACACCAACAGATGCAGCAGCATCCAAGAGCTTTTAAGGGTGCGGCTGCGAGCGTTCGCCGGCGTCTTCTAGGCAGGAGCTCGCCGCCGTTTCGAACGCCGTACGGGGTAAAGCCTCTCGTGTACCCGACCCTCCTCTTGACCGAACGCTCCTTCTCCAGATGATGACTTTCGCCCTATCGTTGCCCTCCGGCGTTCCTTTCTCTGCCTTTATTGAAGGACGGCCCCACGTCGTGGTGGCGACCCCAGGCAGGCTGCGGGACCACTTGCAAGGACCGGCTGCGCCGGCCTTGGCAAAATGTCGGTGAGAAATGGGGTGGGGTTTTTACTCCTGTGACATCATTCTCGCCGTGTTCCGTTAGACCCCCGCAGAGCTGTAGCGGAGTACGCTGGGGTTGCCACACAGGCAACACATTGGGAGGCCCGCGAATAGGGGTGGGGGGGGCGTACTCATGTTGACATGGCATATGCCTTGGCGGTTAGACCGTTGAACACGCGTCCTCGATAGGACGGAGCATTGTTCCTTGACACGAATAGTCATGTAGTCTATACCATAATGAAAACTGACGTTTATTCGCAGTGGTCAGTCGGTCTCAAGTTGTCGATGCAAATTTTGGCAAATAGTTTGAAGACATGCACGAAAACAATCCGACCCTTCCTCTGCCTTGGCAGGTACCTGGTTCTGGATGAAGCCGATCGTCTGCTTGCACCAACGTTTCAAGGGTGAGAGGAGACAGCGAGGCGGCGGGGTAGAGGGTAAAGTTGTTTATGTACATCGCAGTACATCCTCATGCTCATGATGAACCTTGTGCCAGCTTTCCGAGTTTGACCGGTGATGGAATTGTCAGGAGGGTGGTAGTATTTCCAGACGGCTGACCGGTGGCTGGAATACGTACCGCTGGAGGCGGAGAGATGGCACCCCCCGTGTACGGACGTTCAAAAAAAGATTCCTCCACTACCAAGAGGGTGCGGAAAGAGCCCGGTACGTCTACGGAAATACTACGACGGGCGATTTATGAAAACACTGTTGTTGGAGTTGGCACAAGCCTTGGTTGTGGTGCTATCGGACTTTGAAAATCGGTCTAGGGGGGAGTGCCATCTCTTCGCTTCGCCTCTTACGGGATACCACGGTACGGTATACGGTACAGCACAGACAATCTTGGTCGTGGAGCAATCGAGCTTTGAAAATTGGTGTAGGGGGGTACCAGCTCTCCGCCTCTTGCGGAATACCACGGTACGGTATACGGCACGGTACAGACAACCTTGATCGTGGAGCAATCGAGCTTTGAAAATCGGTCCAGGGGGGGTGCCAGCTCTCCGCCTCTTTAGTAGTTTTTCTAGACCGCTCGGCCGATGGGTGGAAATGCGGGTCAGATAGTGACAAGCAGGCAGAGCGAGAGGGAGTGAAACACGCACCAAACACGAAAGAGCAGACAGAACAGATGATCGGTCACGAGGGTGTCTGTAGACAGCTTCCCTCGAGCAACCTCTTCACCAGGGCGCCATCTACAAATGTCTGATGGTTTCTTCCTCGTGTTGCGTTTGCGGAACTTACGCATGGGGACAATGCGGCGGGAACCCTCGTGAGGCGTTATGGAGCCGTTCTGGCGGGGTGATGATCATGTCAAGAGATTTTCCCATATCTGCATCTTCCCTGTCCACCCGCCCCACAGTTTTGACTAGCCCAACCCCACAGCGTGGCATGTGATGCTCAATATTTCACGCTCCGACCGCAGCAATGTACTTGACGTTGGTCGGTGGTGCCGTATATGTCTCCCCCCCCACCCCCTTCTGTGTAGGGAGCTCCGGTGTATCGCGGAAGCCCTGCCGAGCTCCCGGCAAACCCTCCTGTTTTCGGCCACCATGACGTCCAACCTGGAAGCCCTGGAGTCCTTGGCTCTGACGAACCCGGTCAAGTATGACCTCACCAAGAAGGTGATGCGTTGGGCGGCCGTGTGAATTTTTTTGTGTGAATTTTTTTAGTGGCCTTAGCAGGGTTTTTGTATTAAGTAAACGTGTTGGATGAAGAGTGCAATCGGGGGAGTTGGGTTGGGGTTAGGGACTAGGGTCTTGTTGTATTTCCTCATGAACTTTATTTCTCGCGAAGGCGGTCCATTTTTCCGGGCATCTGATTCAAAGTTATGAGAAAAAAATATCGGAAGTGTGTTGTGTTGTTGTGCTTGTGTTACTGCTGCTCTGTTACTACTACTGCCGTGCTCCCTTGGTGGTGTTGAGGTTGTTATGATGTGCCGATTGTTGGTGTTGATTTTTTTTTTTGTATGATTTGTATTCTTGCTGCTAAGCGCAGGTGCCATTGCTATTGTACTGCCGTGGTTGTTGTCGCTACAATTCCTTGTCACCACGGCTGTATTCCTGCAATACACGGTCATTTGTCGGAAACAGACTGATGCACGCACGCCAACGATCATCTCGAGTAACCCCTCCCGCACCGACGTCGATTGCTGTTCACTTGGTGTATCGTTGTAGGCGACGGTGCCGAAAACGTTGACGCAGCAGTACCTGTTCATGCCCCAGCAGATGAAGACGTGCTTTGTCGTTCAGGTACTGTTTTTCGAGCCTGTTCCTTCTGTTTCAAGCATAATTGTCATTGTACGTACGTGTGCGCTGGCTCTGCCAAGCGTTGGACGCTAATCAATGCCTCAAGTCAAAGCCGTTCTTCTTTCGCCTTCCTTTCGAGCTCCGAAACTTTTTGTGTTCCGTTCGAACCCTGTTCTATGATTCGGGGGTCGATTGAGGCGTTATTTAGATTGTTTCGCCAAGGAGGAAGTTGACGGCCCCTCGCCAGACCGCCAAATGCAGGTGACCCCTGAACAAGTTTGTTTGAACCCTACCCAAGTCTTCCATAGCCATAGACAGACTTGGCACCTTACCTTCCGCGTTTTTGGTGTTTGTGTGGTGGAGAACAGACCATTCCCGTGGCCCAAGGTCAACAAACAAATTTTTGGCTTTTGTTCTGTTTTTTCGTGTGTTTTTTTCGGTGCCTTGTGTGCGTGCGGCAGACCCTAAACATGCTAGCCTCGGACAACCTCTGGAGCGACCCCGCAGACAGGAAGACCCGCAAGAACAGGGGGGGGGCGGGGGGGTTGCACGACAACCCGGAAGCTGATGAAGGGCAAGAAGGGGCTGGGGATGGGGACGGGAGAGCGCGCAGCGTCATGATCTTCGTCAGCAAGTGTCGCAAGTGAGACGGCGTTGTTGCTGTTGTTATTGTTGTTGTTGTTGTTGTTGTTGTTGTTGTTGTTGTTGTTGTTGTTGTTGTTGTTGTTGTTGTTGTTGTTGTTGTTGTTGTTGTTGTTGTTGTTGTTTTGTTTTGTTTTGTTTTGTTTTGTTGTTGTTGTTGGTGGTGGTGGTGGTTTGTCCTTGGTTTGTGTTGTCAGTTGTTGCTGTTGTAATCATCATCATTGCTGCTGTTGTGTATATTGTTGTGGTCAATGATGTGCCTGTCTTTGTAATTTTGGTCTTGACAATGTCGAAACCGATCAGACGTCCTACCCAGCACAGCGATTTCATCCGGATTGAGGCTCCACGGTCGCAGGCTACAAGCGTAATGGAATTCATAACAATGACACTAGAAGTGAGGTTTGGTATCTGGAATTTCTGGGTGGTGTATTTTTTGTAAGGAGGTGTTTTAATTTTCCGATCATATGTGCTTTGCCACGCGTTTCACAGGAGTTGGAAGTTAATTTGTTGACGTTGGGTTATGGAAGAGTGTATTGCCCAATCGTACCCCCCCAGCCTTTCATTCCAGTGCTCATAAACAAGTCATCTTCCTCGCACTACTTTGTTCACCCAAACGAAGCCCCGAGGGTGAACCGGGGAGACCAACAGTGATGAAAAAATCGAATCCGTTTGCCGCGGCGATGCCGAGAAGCATGCATGCCTGCACCGTGGAATCCCTCGTGGGAATCGAAGGAAAGTGACTCACTGCTATCGCATGAACTTGGAAGTATTATGGGTGTTTTGAGGTCTCACTGCTATTGCTATTGCGTGAAGTTATACGAAAAAGTGTTTTGAGGTGACTCACTGCTATGACTGCTAACGCGTGAAGTTTGTGAGTGTTTCGAGGTGCCTCACTGCTATTCCTATCGCGTGACGTTATATTAGTGTTTTGAGGTGACTCACTGCTGTGATTTCTATCGCGTAAGGTTATGGTATGAGTGTTTTGAGTTGACACGATGGTCTTTGCTCTCTTGGGTGTATTCGAAGCGTGGATCCTGCTGCAGGTACTGTAGTTGTCCCGTGGTCACCACGGAAGGTGTCCACGTCACTTGCACCGGTACGGATGTTAGAAGGTAAATGAGCAGGGGCTGGCAAGGGTTTTGCTGCGAAAACAATAAACATCAGCAACGATGACAACATCAGCTGGGCCAAGAGGGATACATTCACCTTCAAGTCGGAACTCTCCCTTTTGCAGCCAAGAAAAACCGGACTGCAGGCTTACACCACACGAAGAAACTCGGCAGTTGGAGGCAAAAGAAGATGACAGTAGTACCGACAGACAACGTCGCGAAACCCCCTGTTCCGCACCCCTCCAGGTGCCAAGAGTTATCCGAGACGCTGCTGGAGCTGGGAGTGGATTGCACTCCCCTGCACTCGTTGCTGGGACAGCGCCGTAGAACTGCCGCGCTGGGAAAATTCAAGTCTCAGCAGGTGCGCGAATTTTCGTCTCTTGATATTTTTTTGTCTGTCCCTCCCCGCAACCGAGAGTCACACGGTACTGACTTCCCCCGGGCTGGGCTGCCGAGGATGAGGTGGTTGTCCTGCTCCTCGAGGACGGTACGGGAGACACTACCCTTCGTGATGGTCTGGGACACACCTGTTGCCGCCGTCCCTTGTTTCCGCATCGGGGGGCATGTTATGTCCAACCCGCCAGCCGCCCGTGAGCAATCACGTTGCGATACGTCCTCTCGGCTGTTGGTAGATTTGTGTGCGTGTGCCGTGATGCAGAGATACAGCGACGGACTAGTTGTCGCCATACGCGCGCGCGCCACATATATTTACACGACAGTAGGTGCCCCCTGCCCCGACCCCCCCCCTCCTGCCTCACGGAACTCCCGATAGTTGTTTATGGGATTGAATCCCGGCGTGTTGTATCGAGGCGATTCAACACCCCGTCGTCGTCGCGTATGTGTACAGGACGCTCCGCTGCGAAAACGAACGCGAATGCTTGCTGCTGCTACGCTGTTGGTGTTGTCGCAGACGAAAGTCTGAAGTCAGCACGGACGTGGCCTCTACAGCAACGCACGCGCCTACTGTTACTGCTGCTGCTGCTGCTGCTGCTGCCGCTGCTGCTGCTGTCGTTGCAGACGAAGATGTTGATCAGCACGATCGTGGCCTCCTCAATTTGCACGCGCTTGCTGCTGCAACTGCTGCTGTTGTTGCCTTTGCAGACGAAGGTCTTGATCAGCACGGACGTGGCGAGCCGTGGGTTGGATATCCCCGCAGTAGACCTGGTGATCAACTTCGACGTGCCAAGAGTCGCTACGGACTATGTCCACCGGGTGGGAAGGACAGCTCGCGCTGGCCGCCGGGGCCGCGCCGTTTCCTTGGTGTCACAGGTGAAAGAACGCAATAAAAACAAGACGTTGGTCTACGAGGATGTGTTCTGCTCGTTTTTCGGAACCGCCTTGCTTTGTGTGCAATAGCGACGTGTAGCTTGAAACACGTCGTGACTGACGTGCTGGTGTAAGATTACGCTCTCGTGTTGCCCGCGTGGAGCATATGCCGTAGGGGGCGTTATTGGTGCCGGCAAACTGGTAATAGCGGGAGGATGGTGTGGTTAGATGGCTGGTTAAGGGAACTGGATTAGATGGCTGGTGAAGGGAGTTTCAAGAGAGCGAACGGCCAGCCAACGGAGATATGAAATACATGTGCGTGGAGCGTCTTTTTGTGGAATCAAACCCTCAACATCAACCTGCCGCGCCTAGCCCGACGCGAGCATGAAAATTATTCGTTCTTTTTTTTGTGTACCCTTTTTTCCAATAAGTGATTGCAGAGTCTCTGGAGGTTGAATCGCCTTCGTCTTCTTGGTTGCTTCCGCGCTGGTAAGGGGACATTTTGCCGCAGCGCTCCGCGACTCCGTGCTATTTTCGCCCCCTCTACCCCCCCCCCCCCCCCCGGCCTGCTCCCCGGCCGGGGCCGAAATCGACCTTGTGAGTCCCTCGCGGGCGAACCAGGCCACAACAGATAGTAGGTGGGTGGTGTCCCAANTGAGTCGTCGCAGTCTCCTTGGCTGCTTTGGCTCTGACCGGGGAGTTGCTTGTTGCAGCGCTTTGCGGCTTTGTCTCATTTCTCCCCCCCGCTATCAGTGCTCCATCTTCTCGAGGACGCGTGGTATAACCGCAAGGGCATGTTAAACACGAGTACCCCCCCCCCCCCCCCCCCCCCCCCCCCCCCCCCCCCCCCCCCCCCCCCCCCCCCCCCCCCCCCCCCCCCCCCCCCCCCCCCCCCCCNCCACACCCACAGTACGACATCGAGTTGGTCCACAACATCGAGCAGTACACGGGCACCCCTCTGGGGCTTTGTCCGGAGGTGGAGGAGGACGACGTGCTCAAGCTGCTCAACCAGGTAGCAAAGGCTTCAAGGGTGGCAAGGATGCGTCTCATGGAACAGGTGGGAATCCCAGACAAGCAAAACACGGAGAGCGTCACTGACGTTTGGTTTGCATGAGGCTCTCGGGGTGTGATCAGAACGGTGTGCTTTTCTGTAAGTTCTGACCTGTTCAGCCTCAGCCTCAGAGTGCTTCTGCTAAGTTCTCGGGAGCATCGCGCTCAACGTATCTGTGCATACCTTGTGGTGCCGTACCCTTTTCAACCGGTTGCCCACCAGGGGCCAACGTTGTCAACCTCGCCTACTGGAAGAACGTTTCTAAGAGTATCCTTGGGCTGACAATAGATGAAGTTTTGTTTTTCTGACGAAACAAAACTAAAATTTATCCACAACCAGGAGTACGTTAGTATCAAGCCATGGAATAGGAAATGATGTTTGGTTTTAAATCTGCCTCTTTTCGTCTTCTTGCCGAAACGAAAAATAAAAAATTGCGCAGAACCCAATCGATGGCCACCTTAACCTTTCTCCCATAACCGACCCTCCTTATTCCGGAAACCAGGGGTTCGACGAGCGAGAGACCTCAATCAAAGAGCGTAACAGCCGTCAGCGAGAGTCCAAGGGCGAAGGAGGCACCCACAGCAGCAGCAACGGGGGTGGGCACAAGGAGGCCCGAACGGGAGGGGCGTTGGCAACGCCGAGCAAATCGAGATCGAAGAAAAAGAAGCGTGTTGCTGCTGCTTCTGCTGCGCCAAAGAGCGGCAAATAGCCAGATAGATCACTTAAGCTTCGGCTCGATTGGAAGGCGACATGCGAGGCGCGCTGAGGGTGCAACAGTTTGGGCGACGGTGTCATGTTGGTGGAGCCAAGAAGCGCAGTTTTTCAGTTGTGCCCTCGAGTGTTGCGTGTCTTTTCGTCGAATTTGTACTCTAGCGCCAGTCTACACCTCTCGTTGTAAATTTGACGTATCAACCAGGGTCACGGACGAGGAAGGGTCATCTAGGGATTTTTGTAGCTATGTCCCACCCTCCCCTTGTCGTGCATCCTTCGATTTTGAACCTGCGGAGGGTTCAGCAGTCCCTTCCCTCCTGTAGCGTATACTCACGAATAATTTCTTTCTCCGAGTTTTCTTTTCCACGCGAATTTTTTTTTGTTGGTGGCGAGACAACTAAGCGTTCAAAAAAACTCTTGCCAAGATTGTGGCGTTCTCTAGGTTTTTAGTTTTTGTTAAGCCACATGAATCCGGTCGCCCCGGTGGTCTACATAGTTGGTACTCTCGAATCCTTCAAGAGGTCAGGTCAGGGGTTCGAATCCCGGCGTAAGCGAGTTTTTTTTTGCAAAGTGAGTTTTTCTCTCTCGCTTCCGCTGCTGGCCTAGTGGATAGCGCTAGTTCGTGTGTACACAGAGGGAAGAGAGTGCTGAACTCTTCTCGCATTTAAAATCGAAGGCAACGTACCGCAGGAGGGGAGGTTAGAGAGGGGCCCTTCTGTGTGTCCACGGGTTGGAGTAAACGGCACTAGTGCTGTGAGCGCTGATTTGAAGTGAAGACAAACCAAAAACAAAGTCCGGAAGGACGTTGGTTTTGATTATTACCCATACAAAAGCTGAGCATCAACAACAACAAATAATTCCAACAACGGAAAGGTCTCGGCAAAAGCCACGTACCCCAAAAACCTCACGACACGCAAGCCATGACCTTTGAGAGAGCCCTTATTGGAGGACCCTGCTGGGCGCGCCGTTGACCTCTTCCGGCGTACTCCGCCGCAGCATCACCGCTCTCCTTCTTGCTGCCCGGCTACTACGTCAAGGTTATCTCGAGGAGGGCCACGCTGTCGTAGCGACCGCTCTCCCACAGGGCGGGAGGGAGCACCCGCTGCGGGACGTCATGGAGCACCCTGGCCTGCATGCCCCACTTCCTCAGCAAGGGCCTTATGGACCTCCGCGCGCTTCGCTCCTGGTAGGCCGTGAGAAACACGCCTCTGCTTCTGCTGAAAGGGCTCCCGAACGTGGGTGTGCTGTCAGCTTGTTTGGCGGAAGACGTACGCTGCCACTCAGAGCCAACGGCACCAGCAAGGGATGCAGGGCCGCTGCCTGCGGTATCAGGACCCCGCGGGGTGGTCTCAGGAGCTGTAGGAGCAGCAGCTGAGCTTGTTCCGGTAGCGCTATTAGGCAGAGGGGCAGTCGTGGTGTCATCGACGTCTCCATTCGCACAATCGCCAACTCCGTCAGTGCAAGTCATCGAGGACGAAGGGGCATCAGTGACAGCTGAGCTAGTCCCTGTAGTGCTAGCCAGAGGGGCAGTTGCAGTGTCATCGACGTCTCCGATCACACCGCCTCCACCCCCGGCAGCGGGCGTCATCGAGGAGGACGAAGCATCAGTTGCAGCAGAGTTAATCCCAGCAGCAACAGACGGAGGGGGGGTATTAGTGCTGTTCCTGTGTTCAATCACAACGACGTCATCTGCAGCAGAGCAAGCCGCAGAGAATGCAGGGGCATCAGTAGCAGCTGAGCTAATCTCAGCAACCCCAGACGGGGGGGGAGTTGTAGCGCCGTCGCAGTCTCCACTCGCACAACCGCCGCCCCCGGCAGCGGGCGTCGTCGAGGATGAGCCGGAGAGCAACATGAACGCTGTCGCCAGAACATCGTTAAAGTGCTCCGAGCTGTAGAACACGTCTGCCCCTAGCACCACCTGTGGCGAGGCCGGCAGCACGGGACACATGAAGAAGCCGTTTGAGGCCATGGCGGCGCCAGTTAACATCCAAAAAACACCAGGGAGGAGCGAGCCCTCCACATGGCAGTGAAGGAGCGCGGGGGGTTGATTCGAGAATGTTGAGGTCCGGTCCGATGGAGAATGGAAGGGCGAAGTAGAGAGGAATGCAGCAGCAGGTGCCACTCGCGTTTCAACAAAATCATATCGAGCTCTGTCGCATAGACTCCATTCCGTGCGGTACGTGGCAGACCAATAGAGGGCTGCAGAAACATCAACGTAGTCCCAGCAACTGCCACCACGTGAACACAAGATGTGTAGATATCATCTCTTTTCCTCGTCACATGTTGCCGATTCGTTGCTACAGGTTCTAAACCCATCGCGAACTGGTTTTCAAAGGCGTGAACTCATGTGTCTGACCATCCACGCCCACGCCGCTACAACAGCCAGGATGCGCGGCCCTCAACGTACACCGAAAGCTGTGCACGAGTTTGACTTGTTTCATGAGGTAGACTACTGCGTCTCCGAAGCAACTCAAGTAAACAACAGCAATTTTCTCCAATCCACCACCTCCGCTAAAACGGAACGGTTCAACTCATGCCCTCGTGTCCCTCCATGCAAGGGTAGCAACGGGGGTGGCTTAAAATATCACACCCTCTGGACCGCTTTCAAGGCTCGAATACTCCACGACAAAGAGAACACATTGAATCAAACGGTACGTTATCGGAAATCTCTGCATGAGACGGTTCCAACGCCGCTTTTGTCGGAACCACCACTCTCTTCTGCCGCGGAATAGTCTAGCCTTGAAAAACGGTCCAGGATCTGTGATGTCGTATGCCAGCTACGGCAAGAACAATGGCTTGCAGGGTCTATGTACGTTTGCCGAGACTTGAGACCGAAGTCGTTCGGAAAAACAGCCAAAACGTGACTAGAACCCTCTCTCACCTGAGGGCGCCGCTCCCTCGCTAGCTTGATCGCCGCCGCCCCGACGCTTCCCCAGGAGAGCCCCTGTACCGAACACCGTCCTAGCCGCGTCGTGCCACCGACACGCCCTTCTCTCGTAGTCCCTTTCTCCTGGTCTCTCGGGAATGACTCAGCCCCAGCAGCAGCGGTAGCAGCAACAGATGGAGCGAGACTAGAGTATCCGCCGGTCCCCCGCCCGTCAGGCTCCCAGGCCCCCATACGTTTGTCCTTGCTCTGCCACTCTTTTACACACCCCCCCATTGCAGCCCCAGATGCAGGAGCAGGAGCAGCGCCAGTGCTGGGACCACCACCACCATCAGCAATGGCAGGAACAGCAGCACAGACAGTTTCAGCACTGACAGTTTCAGCGGTGGCAGTGCCGATGGCAGGGCTAGCGTCATCGGGGGGCCCGAGATTGAGCCCGTTTGCCGCGACGGCCCCTCGCATGTTGTCGAGGACCCACGGGGCCTCCTCCCGGTCGGTGAGCACCACGCTGGCCCCTAGCTGCCAGGAGCAAGAGCAAGAGACAATTGACAAATGCGAGGCCCACGATGTAAGCAATACGGTTTGCAGCGCACGCAACAGCGTTTCTTGACCTCAATTGTACAAACGCAGCATCCAGTCCCGTGGGCGCTGTCCGGATGCGCGTGTTGCCTTAGCAACTTAACTCGGAGGAGAGGGGGGGTGGGGGGGGGCTACTCTTATGTTTTGCATGTCTCAGCGGTTAGACCATTGACCACGCGTCCTCGAGAGGACGGAGCATTGTTTCCAGAGGACCGTTCACCGATGGCCAATCGTTCCTTTCTACTTTGCCAAAGGTGGCTCAAAAATGTCTTCCCTAGTCTGTCTATCCTAACGATATCCCTTCCCGCCTTTTCAACCCACCTCCTATGCCCCAGTACAGCTACCGTCCTTTCCTCTCTATTCCATGCCTCAAACATCTCCCTGTACGTTCCATCTATTTTTCCCAGCTCAGTCACGTACACTTCCCTCTCCTTCTTGTACAACGGACATTCCGCGACTACATGAACACGGTCTTCGCATTCGAAGCCGCAATCACATTTGAACTCGTCGTCTTCCTCGTCTACCGTCCTATGTCTTCGTCGACGTTCTCGAAGGCCTATGTCCCCGGTCCTGAATTTGACCTTAAGCTTTGTTCCTGCATCCATTGGTCCATGTAGGTAGTCCTTGAACCCTATTCCTTCCTTCAACATTCCGTACACTTCTAGACCCTCCTTATCCTTGGATTCTTTCCTCAGATTCTGTTCTTCTCTCTCGGCACAAGCAACAGGGGGGGCGGGGGGGGGTCGTGATCGAGAAGTGTTTCCCAGCGGGCCGTGCCCATGTCAGTCATTGGCGAGAAGCCCCGGATTATTTTCGGAGGGGTCCCATGGCGTGCGAGAAGGGTTCGGTCGCGCGCACACACCTTGGCGGCGAGCAAGCCAGGCAGCGCGGTTCCAGCACCGATCTCCACCACGCTCGCCCCGTCAAACTCTCGCCTCCTAGCCCAAATGAGGCACGCCAGCACTACCCCAGAGGGCCACGTGAACAAGCCGAAGTCCTCCGACAAAACCTGAAGTATGGCATTCCCATGGAATGGGGTGGCCACGCGGGAGGGGTGAGATTCATCCGACAGGTGGTTGCAAATAACCCCTTGCTTGATCCGTCAGTCGCGAGTTATTTATCCTCCCGCATGTTCCTGTGGTTCTTCCAACAGAAATTCCGTTGACACTCCTGCACTCAAATCTCAGAATACCCACTAATGGTTCTTGAGCGATGCTCCAAGCGAGGACGGTGGACAAGTGTGCTTGCGCTTATGATACTCAACACCAGTCGGTACCCTACTTGTGCAGTGAGGACCATTTGCCAGGCTGCCCATGCCCATACACTCGTAGCGAGCAATCGTGCACGCATAACGCAGGAACTATCATCTGCAATCGCCAAGCGTGCCACAAGAGGAGATGGGCGGCACACGTGTCCCACAGCAATGTAGAGGTTTCGTCACTGACAAGCATAGCGGAAACGCACGAAGCAGAAACCTCTACCATTGCGATGAGCATTCTCGGGCCGGTTTCGTCACCCACCTCGTGCACCACGACACGCACCGTCTGGTGCTGTTGCCGCGTGCCTCGCGTTACCTCCACTCCCTCCTCGCCGTCTCCCTCACCTCCGGCACACCAACTTTCCCCCTTGATTGTTTCCCCGCGCGCTGTTCCGGCGCCTGCCCCCTTCCCCCTCGCTCCGCTGGTGCGGTGCCGATCCGCCCGCTGTCCATCGCTCACCAAAACCCGACTGGAAGGTTTATCTGCAGAAGCGGTACCTTCCTCTCCCCCATCAGGCAAGGATGACGATCCAACGCCGGGACCGTTCGTCTCGACTGCTGGTCCGGGTGAAAGCGCATCGCTTCCTGGTGATCCACCAGACCCCTCCTCTCTTCCTTTATGCGCGTCAAGGGGCGTCTCCTCGGTGACCGGCGAACAGCCGCCGTCGCCAACCTGGTCCCCTCCGAGTCGTTGTAGGTCCTGTCCGTTGTGACCCCTCGTGGGCCCGTCTCCGCCCTCTTCGCCTCTGATTGGACCGCCGCAGCCACGATAACAGGAGTCCCCGCTGTTGGTGGTCCCGATTGCCGGACGACGGCGCGGCCGGTTGTGGTTCGCGGTCTTGCTACCGGTAGAAGTTGGACTACTGCTGTTGCTCCAAGAACGACTTCGTTTTCGTCGAGTGTTACTCGCCAAGAGCGCGGCTTGATCACCGCCAGGGGACAGGGGACGGTCGTCGTCCACCGAACATGACGACGCCGAGGATGGTGATGATGATAGCGTTGGCCGCAAGGGTGGCAGTAGTGTCCTGTCTGCAAAGATCAAGGAACAGACGCGCGAGTGGGTTGTGTTGGGACAGCGTATATCCATGCGCTCGGTGCCGTCATCCCCGCACCAAGAACGTATTTGATGGCAGGCGAAGCTGGGGCAGGCTGTGGGGGTTGGGGGGGGGGTTAGAGTAGTTAGTGCGAAAGCTCCGCGGAACGTGGTACAAAAAACGACCGATAAATATTGGTTATTTCGCCGTTGGATGGCATACGCACAGCAGAGGCAGATCGGTATAGTGCAGCACCCCGCCTCGGATTGCCACTATATTGTAGAAAGATCGCCGCAGCGCTCGCTCCCTGTACCTTCACTCGCTGCAAGAGCTTGGGCGGAGTTCCCCGCCGGCGGCGAACTTCCGTGCCCACTGCTATCGCGAGAACCAACCGTGCGGCTCATGTTGTGCCCGGCGGAGAATATGTAGGTGGTAGGCCGAGGCAGCAGCGCCGGGCTTGCGGGATCTTGCATGTTTCGAACAAAGAATTTTCCCACGACAACCCCAAGAGATGCGAAAGGGTTGCCGTACAGCAGAGGACGGGAAGCTCGAGTGGTCTTCGGTGTGGTCCTAGCCTCGACCCCACACTCTGTAACCCTCTTCTCTGTCAGCACGAGAGCTAGCTGACGGCGTGGGGTTTGAAAATTGGACCGCGTCTTGCCGCGTCCCGAAATCTGATACAATCAAACCTGCGAAACAGCAGTAGTGGCCGTTACTTCCTTGTGTCCCAGGCCCTCGAATCGAGCTGCGGTGAGAAACCGGTGCAGTGAGTACGCTGGTGACTGAGACACGGCACAGCGTGCGCTGGTCCCCGGCTGGCAAGTGCAAAGCCAGCTCACACGACCGACAGAAAACACTGGCACCCCCTGCTAATGTCGGCCTCCGAATGCCACGTTGAAACCGAGAAAAAAATTGGCATCTTTTAGGCTGCCTCTCTGTGGTCACGCCACACACAACGGCCAGCAGCAGTGGTACCGCCAGCACTGGAGTACTCCTTCGCCAGGTTCACAAGGTGCCGGCGAAAGCGATGGTTCTCTCCACGCCGTTCACGAAGGCCTTCAACCTCTCCGTCCCGGTCTGCCTTGCGCCCATGGCGGGTGTATCTGGGGGACGTCTAGCCGGCAAGTGATGTTGATGCCTTTTTCTGCCCGTGTGTCCAAAAAAGCTGTCGGTGCTGCCTGCTTCCTCTGCACACCGCGCACCAGGAGAGGGCCGTAGGGAGGCCTATCGTGGCTTTGAGCTGTTCTAGTGCCAATCGAGGAGAACGAGCTGGTGGGGAGAACATGCTTTTTGGTAGAGATCATACATACACCTCTTGATTTTTTTTGAAGGTTTTGCCTTGATTTTTTTTGGGAACAAAACAATGAGTGTCCGCCGAACGCCGACGTTGCACGTTGCACCACACGCAAGCGGGCATCGTGCCGGTTTGGGTGACCCCGCTGCTGCTAGCGACTGCTATGTTGCGCAGGAAAGCACGTGCAGAGCGGCAACTGCTTCCATGGAGTGTGTTACTTTTTGCCGTGCCACATGCACATGGCTGGGTGGTGTTCGTTATTCAAAACACTCCATCCCAGGATTTCAACCACAACCACCTGACCGGGGATTGCTATCCCCAAGGTTGTTCTTGCAACAATCATACACGGCGCAGGTCTCGAAGGCTCGCAGATTTCGCAGCTACAGATATATGTCAGGGAATTTGAGAGGCCATGTCGTCGGGACAGCGTGCCTCTGTAGATATCTACCACTGCCTGTACCTTCTGAAATGGACGGAAATTCGCTGGGAAATCACATTTCCTGGCGTGTGGCGTCGATGATCACGGTTATTTAGGCTACAGAGTTGAGGCGTTCCACCTGCAGTGTCAAAGCTCGTATCCATGGTGCTTTGTTTTGTTCAGGGGTTTCGAGCGTTTCCACTCAAAACCCACGACCCCGCTGTGTTGTATGCGTAGCACCGGTGAGGTATGTATGCAAGAACCACACCTATTCGAATATTATTCATCACGTGGTTGCGATGCTGTGTAGGATACGGCGCAAACATCAACGATGATCTGCGTGGGTCATAGGCAACCGACCATCGCAGGTCGGGTGGGCCCCATCATACGGCGGTAGTCATGACGACGCACCTGTCAGAGATGTCTACGGTCACGTAGTTTTGTAATTTAGGGAAGACAACCACACACAAGCCCGGCAGAAAGCTCTGGACATGGAATGCCGCAGCATCAAAGAATGAGATCGTGGTTGACGCTTCGCCTTCGTCATTCGGCGATCGATTGATTGTTGATGATGAGACCCACGTGAGGCATGGTGGGATCGACAAGCGGTTTGTTACATATTATAGACGTCACTGGCGAGGGTTGGTGTGTGAGCTCATCGCTTTGGGGGTAAAAAGCAGCTGGTGTTAAAGTTAAGAGTAAACATGGATGTAATAGGACGTATGCATACCAAGCAGAGGTCTCCACGTCACACCCCTTCGTTTGCGGCTATGGTTAAGGAAAGAGGGTGAAAGGAGCGAGAGGATGGATGCCAGAAAGGTTTGGTGAAGACTGCTGCTGCTGCTTTGTCCAAACGTGTTTCACGCCAAAAGTAGTAAAATATGCGCCCGTCTCTCTGAAAGTTGAAGCTGTTTGTCGCGGCTCCCAGAAGCGCTGGTTGCAAAGCAGCAGCAGCAGCTGCTTTGTCCAAACGTGTTTCACGCCAAAAGTAGTAAAATATGCGCCCGTCTCTCTGAAAGTTGAAGCTGTTTGTCGCGGCTCCCAGAAGCGCTGGTTGCAAAGCAGCAGCAGCAGCTGCTTTGTCCAAACGTGTTTCACGCCAAAAGTAGTAAAATATGCGCCCGTCTCTCTGAAAGTTGAAGCTGTTTGTCGCGGCTCCCAGAAGCGCTGGTTGCAAAGCAGCAGCAGCAGCTGCTTTGTCCAAACGTGTTTCACGCCAAAAGTAGTAAAATATGCGCCCGTCTCTCTGAAAGTTGAAGCTGTTTGTCGCGGCTCCCAGAAGCGCTGGTTGCAAAGCAGCAGCAGCAGCTGCTTTGTCCAAACGTGTTTCACGCCAAAAGTAGTAAAATATGCGCCCGTCTCTCTGAAAGTTGAAGCAGTTTGTCGGGGCTCCCAGAAGCGCTGGTTGCCAAGCAGCAACAGCAGCAGCTGCTGCCCGGTGCAGACGCGTGGACAAACTTGTGATGAATTATGTTACAAAAAAAAATACTGAGCTTTAGGTGTGACGTGGCTGTATGCTTGAATCATCGATTTGTGTTTTCCCTGCTTTGGAATAGCGTTCGTCACCAGTGCCTGCAGCGCCGTGCCGTTTCAAAACACGTTGTAACGGCACGTTGTATGTGCACCGGCGGTGCTCAATCCCTCCCACAGCATTATTGCCAGCTCGCCCCTTCCTCCGGTCTTACCAAATCTCCCAATATTTGTTTTAAACGTGCGTAGTCTATTAGTAGACTTGGTTGTATTTGTTTTGATTTTCTAGCACCAGCCGTGAGCGATGCTATTATAGAGGATTACTACTTGTCCCGAAACCAATTGGCGGCGGCACAGATGATGGGTTGGGGTTACGGTTAGGGTATCCTTATCCCTCTGTTGTCACGCTGGGCATCGAGGCCCCCTACGCTGCCTAGACTATTCGTCTGTCGGCCTGCCCTTACCTGGTCTTATATGCCTGTCTTGACTGTCTGTCTGCCTACTTTTCGTGGTCACAAAGACGGGCGCCATGCGTACGTGCACATGTTGTCGCGGCACCCAGCGGTGCGCTCCACACGACTCTCTGCCGCTGCTGCTGCTGCTGCTGTAGCCTTTTGTTCGATTTCTTGCCGTTTCTTGCCGTGGGTCTGTCACCCCGCGCACCCGTGTAACCAACAATTAATACCTCCGGCATCTTTCCCTTACTTGCGGTAACAAATGTTTATTTTTTCTATCGTCCAGCCGTGGATCTCATCTCCTGCCCACGTGGGGACACCGCCTTTAGGCGCCCGCGGACAACAACCGCCACAGGAACCTCTCTGGGTGCGGATGTGCCAGCCCTTGGTGTGGGGCACTCTGGATCATTCTCTTAAACCTCTCCCAAACCATCGAACACCGCGCCGGCGCTGTACCCCCACGCCCACCCCCGTTTTTTTTTTTTTTCCAGCCGCTGTCGCGAGGGGGGGCGGACTTGGAGTGATCGGAGCGGGGTCTGGAAAGAACATCAGTGAGCTCGACGAAGAGGTTGGTCATGATGGATCGTGCGCGAGCGCAAGTATTGAAATAGTTTCTTATTCTTTTCCTCAGTTTGTCTGAGGCTACAACAACTTGCATAAATAGGAGCAGAGTTGCAGGTCACGTTTCGGACATTCTTGAGTAGCACGCCGGTCTCTGTGCCAGGTAGTATGCATAACCTCGTACACGTAATCTGTGACTCTGGGTTGTGAGTTGGGATGTCTCTAGAGTGGAGAAAAAACATGAACGGCATTTCTAGAGGTGGAAGAGTGCATTGCCGTGAAAAAGCTCACAAGCTCAGAAGGTGTTGTGTCTAGCCGGTTACATCTTCCCACGATTTCCTGGAATCACTCTGGAATTTATTCTGAGTGACTGACGTACCCCCTAGTAACATACCTTATCTTAAGAAAGCTCTGTTTCAGGCGGATCGTTTGATCGGAGCAGATTTTTTTGTTGGCGAGAAAATCGCGATTCCGTCGAGATTTCGCCAAATGTTGTTACGTTTTATTTGCTCGTGTGTGAGGTCCAATTTTTTTTTGTAAGACCGGTTTTGAGTGTATCACGTCGAGGGGTACGCGGCGACCCAACTCAACTTTTTTTTGCCCTGAGACATCCCGGAGAAACGGGCGAAAAACCTCGTTCCAGGTGGCCTCAGGGTTATGTTTTTTTGGGAGAAACGCACCGATAGATTTCGAAAAACTCCACGGATTCGGGCGAATTGGACCTGCACCCAGGACCCTTTTTTTTTTTCGAGTTTTTTTTTGAAGGAAATATGGCCGGTCAAAGTTTGGTGTGCTCATACACCACACACATCACACGACACACCATACAGCACACCACACAGCAGTCCCATAGACCCCACCGAGGGCCCACCCAGGCCTATACTTGAACATGCCTCGGCGCGGGCGTCCTCTCGGTCCCAAAAAGAAGGCTGGCAGCTTCCAAACACGAGCAGCTGGCCGGTTCGGCGGGAAAAAAGCGGACCCTCCCCCACCACTCGCTGCGGACAATCCACCACAACGAGACAACGACACATGCATACATGTTATGAAGGAGACGAAGAGGACCACAGCAGCAGCAGCAGCAGCAGCAGCAGCAGCCGGCACAGCAGCGACAGTGATCATGGCAGCTGCAGCTCGGGCAGCTCGGGCCGCGTCAAATACGACGGCAAGAGCAAACGGCAGCAGCGGCGCCGCCGAGAATGCGGCGAACTGCAGAAGAGAAGCGGGGTGTGCGCACACTTCTTGAGATGTGGACATCAGCTCTGCCCTGCAGCACCCCAGCCCCCGCTTCTACAGAGGACAACAGCAAGGCGGGAGAGGTCGAGGATGGGACGGTTGTCTTCGAGATTGAGGGAGGTGGAGACGACGGAGACGAGGTCTGCAATTGGTTTGGAGAAGATGACATGCAAGGGGTTGATGTGTGCTTCGAGGGACGCAGTTCCGCGTCTGAGGGGCTCGTCTTTGAGAGTTACGGTGGCGACTCGGCCGACTGCACGTCGTCCGAGGAATCTAACGTGGAGTAGAGCGACACCGAGGAGACGCAGCAGCAGCCGTCGCAGCCAAGCGTTCAGGAACCCCGACAGATTCGCGGCAGATCGAGATTCCGCCGCACAGCGGAAAATTACACCGTGTGCCACCGACGCCGACTGCAGCTCCACGACCGCGGCAACCGAGGCCAAAGGGTGGGCCAGCCGGCCCGGGACGGGACGAGGCAACAGGGAGCAGCACCCTCGCCCCAAGCGCAGGAGACTAAGTAGCAAAGCGCTGGTTTGGGGGGCGAGGGTGCTGACAGGGAGAGGAAAACGAACTCGGATAATGAACATAAGAGACAACCTCTCACTCGTATACGACCTGCTATGCGTTGGAAGGCGTTGCGGGGCGATGTTTCGGGGTAATAACGTGCCGTTTCGGGACAAGAAGCGTCGGTTCGGGGTAATTTCGGGGTAATTTTCGCTCCGAAACGGCCATTTTCACGGATTTTTTTTTTTTTACACCGGATTTTGATGCTTCTCGACCTTGAGGTTCTTCTCCACATTTTTTCGCGTGTTATCTCTCAAAATCCAGCGAGGTAAAGTGGGGGTCACCTTGTGGGACAATCTAACAGGACACAAGTGTTTTGGGTTGGCGTGTCAACCGGTTCACACCAGGGCCGGTCGCATGAAGGAGGCAGGCCACACTGTAGTGTGTTTCTTTTTCCACAGCACGCTCAGTCAAGATAGATGTTGTGTGTCGTTGTTACTTACGAACCGTGATGTTTTTTGTTGTGCACCCCACGTGGCGCAAATCGTGGTTGTATTGTCGCTTAGAAGCATGTTCTGAAGTATTATTTTTCAATAAACACGACGTTTGACGAGCATGTTCTGAAGCTGCTGTTTTTGTGAAAATACCATGACGGTCGGAAACAGGTTCGGCTGTTCCGCGACGAAGCACCGCTCGGCGCGAAGCTTGCCCTTGGCATCATCTCCTGGTCTGCCCTGGGCGGAGACGGTCACGGAGTCACACAGGTATAGCCGTGTGGTCGCTACCTTAGGTTGCATAGGATATCACACCCCTTGGACCGATTTTCGAAGCTCGATATCTCGGCAGGAAAAGCGGTGACGGCACCAAAAATGGCGGTAGGCGTTGGAACGGTCTCGTCGAGAGCTTTCCGAAAACGTGTACTTATATTGCGTCATCCTCCTTGTCGTGGAGTAATCGAGCTTTGAAAATCGGTCCAGGGGTACGATATCCTATTCAATCTACGGTAGACAAACACAACAACAACGAATAGCTAGATAGCGCCTGCAATTCAAAGGACGTTTAGTTTTGGCCGCAGCTGGGCTCCTAGGGTTGTGCTACAGTTGACCGCTATATTGGTTTTGGTGGGGAGTCATCGACCGGGCTCACGAATGTGTTCACGCACATAATTGGTTGTACTTGTTCTCTGGGTACCGTAAATGACACAAGATAACACCCCCCCCTGGACCGATATTCAAATCTCGATTTCTCAACTACAGAAGGAGTTACGGCGCCGAAAACGGCGGCGTTGGAACCGTCTCGTCGAGAGCTTTCCAAAAATGTATCGTTTCGTTTATGCATCCTCTTCGTCGCGGAGTAATCGAGCTGTGCTTGAAAATTGGTCCAGGGGATGTGTTATCTTGTGTCATATACGGTAGTTCTTCCCTTTGGCCGCCGAAGGCGTGGACCTTTGGATGTGAGAACGTGGTATGCTGAGCGGAGATCGGCACGATACGAAGCGCGAAGACGAGGACAACAATCCGGGGGTGTGAGTCGCTTGCTTCTGCTCTTGGTAGGGTGGTGCTAGTAGTTGCAGCCGGTGACCACGGATCTTAGGAGGTGGCTGCCCCTTCGCAACACTACTCCACTCCGTAGCCCGTCTACCATAGCAACGCACTCACGCAGAAACCCGTCCACACTATGTGTAGGCCTCGTGGCGATGATTACTACGCACCAGAAATAGCCATTCCCGACTACGAAGGATAACGCGTTACTGCCCATTTTGCCCCTCCTACATGAACGTATCTGTGGAGTATGTATGCATACAACACCATACGAGGCGACAGGATCGTTCAATCAATTTTTTCATGGAAGCCGAAAAATTCGCAACCAACGATTATTTTGCACCAGGCCTCCCTCCATGGGAGGAACACCAACAACCGGACTTCAGCCTCGGAGGCCGCTGCGGCAATGGCAGGGGCGGCGGCACAGGCCGATGCGAGCGCAAGCAACGGCAACCTCGGCAGCGGCGGTGGCGGCAACGACAAGGGATTACGGCGGGATAGCAGCACCGGCAACGGTGGCTCCGCGAGGAAGGCGGCGTGCGACACGTCGGTGCTGCAGACCCTGCTGAAGCGGTACCGCCCGCACGCGATCTGGTTCTTCGCTCCCTCCACCCCATGTGCGTGCGTTTCGAGCGCCGTGTTTTTTCGAGCGTGGGCTGTTTTCACAGGGGTGGGGGGGGCTGTACTCATGACCGTGCCGCGGGAGGTATGTTCAAGGGGGAGTGTACTCCTCATGGCCGTGCACGCCGTTGACGTTATGATCATTGACCTAGCATCCCGACAATGCCGGGACGGAGCGGTACGCCGGATTCTCACCGGACCAGGTGCTTTCGGGGGCGTACTCTTATGTTTTGCATGTCTTAGCGGTTAGACCATTGACCACGCGTCCTCGAGAGGACGGAGCATTGTTCCCACAGGACCGATCACCGATGGCCAATCGTTCCTTTCTACTTTGCCAAAGGTGGCTCAAAAATGTCTTCCCTAGTCTGTCTATCCTAACGATATCCCTTCCCGCCTTTTCAACCCACCTCCTA